GGAATAAAACTTCACTGCCGGGTTTGTAGATCGCTCGATCTGTTTGTATGAAAACCATGAAACTCTTGTGAATGTATTGCAGCGAGGTTGTATTGGAGAACAGCAAGCCGGAGGTTCCACGGGCCGTTAATTTGTATCTTCCAGGACTTGTATCGCCGGTCTGTTATTGGAATTATTTTTTGATTATCATTATCATCATGTTTATCATTAGTGGATTTATTACACTGAGAGAAAAATTTTGTTTTTTAAAATATGGGTATTTTTGTGACAAGAAATTATTTTTTTGGAAATTTAAAAAAATTTTATTTCTTTGTTGAAGAAATAAAAATTTTTTTACAATAACTTTTTTGCAGGAAAAAAGTTTTCTAGATTTAAAAAAAAAAAAAAAAAAAAAAAAAAAAAAAAACAACGAGAATTTTCATCCAAAATTGTTCTTTCTTAAATGTATAAAAATTTTTTTTCAATAATAAAGTTATACCTACTGTAAGAAAAATTTTTATTTCTTCAGCTGAGAAATAAAATTTTTTTAAATTTTCAAAAAAATAATTTCTTGTCACAAAAATATTAATTTTTTTTTTAAATAAATTTTTTTTTCTTAGTGTGTATAAATATTACACCATTATTTCTATGTATTTACCTCTAATTTAAAGACTTGAGTTGTATAAGGCTCAACAACATTTTCGTGGAAAACCTTAAACTTTTCATTGTTATCTAAATCTCCATCTAACTCGACGGAAATGGTCACCGGCGTTGATATTCCACTGGTTGATACAGCTACGTGGTAATCTGAATTAGGGCGCACAACTTTTGGAGCAACGACCGTGTAGTATCTGCAGACAAAGTCCATCATAATGTTTTTAGTGATTGTTGTTTACGCTCAAGATGACAATAGACCACACACTTAATTTAATATCTCCATAATATACATTGTATATATGTAGTAATAATTGAAGTAATAAGTGTAAGTATACAAATACTGTTACTTTAAAAATGTTTTACACTTACGGTTCCGCTGTTGTTGCCACAACGAAGCTACACAGGAGCAAAGAGACAATTGTAAGCATCGTCATCTTCACGCCTAGTTTCTGTAAAAGAAAAATTATTCATTAAATAACTTTTCACTCTTTTATTTATTTAAATATCATTTTTTTCTTCTTTCTCTGTGAGAGCGATTCAATTTATTTATTGTAATATTTTTATTATTATTCCAGATTGGAAATTACTATAAAAAAGACTGTCAATTTGCAATGCAATTGCAATGTACAGCGATGAAAAATTCAGTAGCAAAAACATTTACAATTTATATTTTACGGTCTCAGCTCTGAGCACTCAGTAGACATTATTTGCTTTTATAACAACTAGAAGAACTACTGCCTACTTTCTATTCACTGATCATCACAATCGACGTTAGCCAGTGAAAATAACCGCAAGTATTTGACGTGATCAAGTCTCTGGATTACGTATAATTGAATTCTCACCATACCAAACAATTTTATTCTATTATTATTTCTTCGTATTTAAAAAAATAATTAATACATTAAAAATCCTGATTTAAAAAATCAATATTAACATCATCAGTAATTTATAATTATTTTTTCTATAATCAGCAAAATCAATTATCAATTCCCAGGAGTTTTTCGTGTAAATTATAAAATGTTTTTTAAATAATAAATAATAACCATCACAGTATTGAAAACATCCGGCTGTCTTTTATTGTACACGGTTCGTGATTTCGTTCTTTCCTCATTACGCGACCTTTCGATAAAAATACATCCGGATGGGAAAACCCGATTTCCTAGAAGCGCAATCTGCTGTATACATGGTCCATCAATATATATCCTATTATTTCCACACGACATATTTTATCAGGTGTAAATAACAATTATTAAATATTACATAACCAGGTGTTATTTTATTTTTAATTATTACCGGATTGAGTTATGTGATACCTTGCGATATTAATCAAAACTCGTTTCTTTTTGTCGTGAAAGCATATTTTCACGTTACCAATAAGTGGGCCAGCTTATTACCATTATTATATACAAATCAAGTATGTTTAAGCGTAAATATGTACAATATATACAATACATACGGAAGACTAGTCGAAGATTATTAAAATGGCATTTAAAAGTACCACAACAAGTGCTTCAAGGATCAATGACCTTGTTGCAAGAGTAATTCCGTATAATAATGAGGTCGCCGGCTAGGTATTGTTCGCATCTTCACATACTTTTGACCTATTTTACAAAACTTTATCATTGGTACATATTCATACTGCACGTGTTTCAATAATTTACAGATTTAAATTATTTCTTCTTATTTTTTTTTTAGCTATGCTGGCTCTACAAGTTAGTAATGTAATTAATCATCAGTAATTATTACTATTATTGCTGATTGAATGAATAAAATGTAAATATTTTGAGTTTATATGACGCTGTGGTAGTTTAAAGGCATGACGTAATGCCAATAAATTTTTAATCCTCGGTGTAGTCATAGTATTTTAATCTTCAAGAGTAAGTGTAGGTGTAACAACCTAACCGGTTTTTTTTTTACAAATCATAATAAATAATTATTTCAATGGTTTTATAGCCATGAAAAAAATGTGCTTGAGTATTCTTCCCACGGAATGAGTCAATGAAATTTTCAGAATAGAAGCATTATATTCATGGAGGCTGGAGGCTTACTCTTTAAAAACTAATCACGGTGCCTGATTTGGAAGCAGAGTGAAATTTAAACATTGAACAATAAAATTTTCAGGAGTTAACCGTGAAGATCATCAACTTAAATGGTAAGATTTTTAACACCTAAGTTTCTAAGTTGTAAATAAAGTGATAAATTTTATTAGCAGTTATTTAAAGGATTATTATTTTAAGAAGATGACTCACCTGTGCAGTTCAAGACGCACTTTAAAGCCGATCAGCACGACGGCTTCCTTTGGCAAAACTGTGTCAGTAGTTGAACGAAAAATAACAACCTGTTGATGAATTCGTCAGAAATAAAATTTTTATTAGTGTTATTATGAATGTTAACACAGAAATTAAGTATAATAAGGAAGATAATATTTGAACGCACCCAACTAAGTTGATGATGATAGTAATAAAAAATACACACAGGTGTTCTAGCGAGCTCGTGAGCTCTATCACTGGCGATATACTGAAACTTACTAGCCAAACACTACCAATCAAGGCATCAAGTCAGGGCCGGGCCGTAGTTGTCTGTGGGGACTGAGAAAACAAGTCTTCGAGAATCCCTTCTCCTCGGTTATTTATTGTTGTTATTATTATTATTATTATTATTATTATTATTATATTCCCAGAGTATTCTCTCTTAATGCTCACCTGTAGACTGTAGACTATCTCTTGGGTATTATATATGAGAAAACTGTACCGTTAACATCATTTACTTTTGTGTGATGACTGGTGCTGACTACTAAAGCCGGACCCAAGCTAAAAGATGATAGTATTTATTATTATTATTGTAATATCAATTATTTATTGTTATTTTAGTTGCTGTTGAATAGCTTATTGTTTATTATAAATTACTACCTGGTGATTTCAATGCTTTTCATTTTTGTTGGAGTATTCTCAATTGATTATTCATTTCTATACTCAGCTCATTCATTCTATCTTGGAGAAAAACTTATCAACATTTATAATTAGTGTTAACTAATTATTAATTTTATTTTAAAAATCATTTCTAAAATGAGTAATTAAAAAAAATAATCATCATTTCTTGGAGTGAAGATCTAATTAATTATTTATTTATACCAAAATAATAACAACTTACCTTCTTAACCATCTTTAATCATTAATATCAGCTTCTATATCGCCTTATTGAGATATTCGTTTATGAAACTAATCTTTTGTATTGTCATGATGAAGAAATATTCTAATTGATGTGTCGAATATTTCTGTGGTTCTATTCATGATTTTTTTAATGGATATAATTTTGATAATAAAATTCATAATAAATAAAGGTCTTTCATAAACATGGCCAAGAAACTCCTTTTGGGATCGAATTAATCAAACTAATCAATTTAATTAAAAAAATTAATTATCTCTCCATTTCCTATTTTTTTTTTTTTAAGTATCCTGATAAATTTCACCGGATTAATTGTAGTATTTTTGCAAATCTTAAAAATGTGAAATTATTCTTTCCTTCATTCCTCTCGAAATTATAAATTATATATTTTCTTTTTATTGTGATTTCATGAATGTATATTGCCGATTGGCGTTTTCTAAATAGATAAATAATAAATTAGATATATTAAATATTCTAAAATTTAGCTAATGAAAGTTTCTTCTTTTGATCAAGAAAATAATAAAAAAAAATATGAAGAAGACTTACAAAAAGACACTGATAATAACTGACGTAAGAAATTTTTTTAGAATTTTATATTTATAAAATTATTATGAAAAAAATTTAATTAAAAAATTCCACATCTGAAAATTAAAAAAAATTATTAGTAGTAATTTTTAAAAGTATTTTTATTATTGCAATTGATTTTTTATAAAAATTTTTCAAATTTACAGCTGACAGCTAACTTCAGTATCATTAAAAAGATACAAAATTTACACGCTATTGATGTTTTAATTGGTCAGTCTTTATTTTTGTTTTTTTTTTTTTAAGCTTTGTTTTAATTAAATCTAAATTTCTTTTAGATTGAACGTAAAAAGTATTAATTATGAAATCAACCATAGTACTTCAGACATAACGTGTTATCTGTTAAAATTTCAAATTACTGACTGTTATTCTTTAGCGAGCATGCGCAATGTAAAAAATGTTTTCATTGGCTGATCGAAGACTCAGGCGACATCTGTCAGCAAGAATAATTTTTATTGAAACTTGAATCATGAAAACAAAACTTGTTTTTTTGGAAGAATGTCTCAAAGCGGGAAAGCCAGTAAACAATAACACCATTTCTTTAATTATAAATAAAATAAACTAATTAAATAATAGTAATAATATTTCAATAATGAGCAATTAGGAACACTGAAAATATGGAAAATTGTATTGAATATTTTCGTAAGCTTAAAGGTACGTAATTTTCAATCTTCACATGCATTTACTGATAATTTATATGGTTTTTTTTAGGCAAAGGCAAATCTCCAGATGGTTTTGATGAAAATTTAGCTGTTTTACAAAAAGAAGCTCAAAAAAACGGCCTAGATAATTTATGTATCAAAGTAATTGCTCATGTCATTAGGAGAAATGAATTACGTGAGTTTTATTTTTATTTACTTATCATTTTTAACCTTTGAAGTTTATTCATTCCATTCAGACATAATACTAAAGTTAGTCGACGTTTTTAATTTTTTTCATTCATTAAACTAGAACTAAAAAATATTTTTTTAAAAATTGCACTTATAGTTTTTCACAAATAAATTTTTTTTTTTTATTATTTTGTAGCAATTTTTTCAATTAAAATAATTATAAAATCTTTTAGATTTCAACTAGCTTAATTTTCATTATTTAGACCTATAATATTAACAATGAATGATTCATTAAATTTTTAGGAGCCGGCTTATGTATTCCTCTGATAAAATGTTTAATTCCAAAACAAAAGATAGATAATAAAGAACTGGAGGCAATGATAGTATATTGGCTGGCAGATCATAAACTTTTACCAATAACTGTCTCAGTACACATTCTCCAGTGGTTCATCGGACTATGGGAGTACCAGTTATCAGATAGAGAGATAATAAATAGTTATTATGACTGCTTCTTTTACCAGTTGCTGAAGCGTGAAAAAACTGTAGGTAGATCAAATATTTTGCTTTCTTAATTAAATAATTAATTTTATAAAAATTTAATTTTATTCGATTTTAGGAATCTGTGATTACAAGGCTGATTTATTTATTAACAAAACCACAAGACGTGACTCGTAGACAAGTGAGAAGGCTGATTAAACACCAAGAACAGTATCCGAAGCCTCCCAAGCACATTTCTGCGTTATTGTCTCTGTTTAAATCATACAAGCCTGAGTTAGTCCCTGAGAAAATTCCCTCGCTGAACGTCGAGAGCGTCTGGAAGCCTATACCAGAAGTCTTAAGAGCCGGATTTGAAGATGCAAAGAACCGCTGCAGTGGAATCGAGTCCCGGGTACTGGAGATTTTTGACTGGAATCCGGTAAAAATGCCTGTTAAAAATCAATCTGTACCTCTACTGCCGTCGATGAGGTACTTCCAAATGGGCTCTAGCATTTACAAAGACCAAGACACGAAAACTTTGTTTGATATTAACAGTTTTCAAGATATAGGAAAGTATCACTTTCAATTAGAGCTGCCTTCGAATGCCATATCGTTGCTGGCAAATAACGCTGGCTATCACTGCCTGACATTTGCGAACTATGAATTCCAGAGTAGGTTTTCTTTTAATTTATATTTAGCGCTAAGAAGAGCGTTTATCATTGAGAACAATGCGTTTTCGTCTGAACAAAAAGCGCAGTTGCTTGATATGACTACTGAGTTTTGTAAATATATGAAGCAAGGTATTCCCGTGGTTCTAAGATTCTTCATGGAGTACACCGCTTATGACTCTGGTGAATTCAGAAGCAAATTGTTGAATTTGTTTGAATGGTCGACGACTATTTCCGTAGCTGAGCTGGAAGATCTTGCTAATTATTTTGACTCGGTATTTTTGGAGTCTTCTTTGGAGGAAAAGTGCGAGTTGATTGGATGCTTCGAACGACTTGCTACTAATTTAGTAAGTTTTTTAAATAATAAATTATTTTATGAAACTGAAGTTTACAGACGTTAGAAATTTTCTTACAATTTTATAGCAATTAAATTATTATGAAAAAAAATTTAATAAAAATATTTCACATGTGAAAATTAAAAAAAAATTATAAGTAGAAATATTTTAAAGCACTTTTTTAGTGTAATTAATTTGTTATTAAAAATTAAATTTGTTATTAAATTTACAAGCAGTATCATATTATTTTTAATAGTAAATAGTTTAATATTTATATTTGCAGTTTATCAACCAAAGGTTTGGAAAAGAGAAATTCAAGCCTTCGCCGTTCTTAGGACAAGTTCCAACAAATAAATTATCTGATCTGATTCCGGCAATTCTCAAGACCGTCGACCACTTTATGACCAACGGTCTGAGTATTCACAACAACTCTGTGCTGCTTCTCGACAAAGGAATCGAGTTTTATGAAACCATTAACAGATTAGCGAGTCGCTGCGAACCTCCATGGCTGATTATCGCGCCTCCGAGTTTGATTTACGGAGGATTTGTGTCCAAGAGTGCTGCAATCATTTCGCAGATCTGTGATTTACTCATCAATTATCGTAAGATATATAGTCAAATTAATGACTCAAGAGTGAGAGAAATTTACGAAGCCGAGGCAAAGGCTCTGAAAATTTATACCTCTGATTTGGGCAACGCCTTGTGGAATGATCAAGTTTGGTTATTTCCATCTAATTTTTTTTTTTTTAATTACTACGTATAATCTTATTAATTTTATTTTATTTTTTTTCAGATATTTTCTATAAGGCACGATGGGCAATTTTTAAGGTCACTGCCAAACAAGATGATTACCAATTTACCAAAAAGCAAAGAATATTCATTAAATATCAGCAATCACATCGCTTTTTTGCCATACAGATCAACGTTAATTAATAGTAACTTTGCTATTGGACCAAAAGATCTGGCGTTGTGTCTAGCTGAAAATTATTTGCCGGCAATTAGTAATTTTATACGATCATTAGATGATTATGAGAGTGAAAATGAAACGTAAATAAATTAAAAAAATTATAGAATAAATAAAATAATTAAATATTTTGTATACGAGAAAAAAAAGTAGAGTTGAAATTAATCAGAGTTAAATTTTTTATTACCTCCAATTTACATACAAATTTTATTATTTCATTTACATCTCACAGCAGTCTTCTTGCACATAAAGAACTATGTGTCATATATTAATATATGTTAACAGAAATAATGACTGGCTGATCTTTCTCAGGCACCGTTAATTTAATAATCATTAAATATATTTATTATTATTATTATTAATATTAATTATCTCTAAAGTAATGTTAATTTATTTTATTCGCTAATAATCTGAATGATCAGACCAAAATGTCAATTTAAATGTGTATGTCACAATCTACGTCTATAAATGTACTTTTCTACTCTTAAAATTATTTAATGCGCCTTTACTCATTATTTAGTGCAATTGCTTCATCAAAACTTATTGTTTTAACATTAGTATTGTTATAATAATAATTAAACAATTATTATTATCGTAAATCATCACCTCAAAATAAGAGTGAGACACATGACTATACGTATAAGTTTTATTTATAATTTATTACCGCATTACGATTTATTATTTTGAATTTATCGCTATACGGTCGCTTTATTTAATATTTATCAATTTTTTTTCAATTAAAAAACGAAAGTACATTTAATACAATTCCCTAACTTTTATTGTTTTTTATTTGTAAAATAAGATTTAAAAAATAAAATTTATTGTTTAGTATATCAATAGTTATTTATAAGAGTAAATAGTTTATTTTATTTTAAGTATTAGCATTGCAATGTAATCAGTATTGCTTATTATTATTATTTATTAATTATTTTAATTAGCGCGTTATATTCACATTGGTGTGCCAATTTTACGAGCCAAAGGCAGTGACTTAGCTTTTAAATAATAAATATTTTAATTAATAAATAAATTTGTGAAAAAAATAAAGCTTAGACTGCCTGTTAAAAAAATAAGCTCGCTATGGCACTGATCAGAAAATTCAAAATATTAATTTAAAAAGAGAGACAGTACTTTCGTAGATACTTATAAAATATAAAACATGGTAATGATATTAATATTTAATATAATAAACGATACTGATAAAGACAAGCTGTGTAATGTAATTCTACAGTTTTAATTTTTTTATTTTATTAATCTTTATTTGTTTTTATCTAACCGCCTCAAATTGTTGAATTTGTTTAACAAAAATAAATTCAGAGTTACATTCATACATCACATACAAATTAAATCTAGTCATTTGTCTATAAAAAAAAAAAAAAAAAAAAAAAAAAAAAAAAAAAACTATATATATATATATTTTACACACACACACACACA